TCCTAACCGCCTGAGCCATGGCGGCTCAGACAACTACGCAGCGGCGGCAACTGATCTCCGCCGCCTGGCGGCCTTGGACGAGGCGACCCTCAGGGGCGCCCTCGCCTATATGGGCCGGGAGCCCTTCCGCCGCCTTCGTCGGGCGGTGGGATGCACCCCGACGCCCGAGCCTTCTGATGACGAGGGCGGCAGTGGCCCCGCTGGGGCACAAGATTCGAGCTCCCCCTACCGCCTGGACCCGGCGGTGAACGCCGAGAACCAGGTCACCGCCTCGTCCAAGGCGAATGTGAACAATTTGGACCCCGCCTTGGGCGACTCGTTCTTGGCGGCGGTCTCTTCCCCCACCGCCAGCATGGCGACGCAGGATCCAGTGTGGCTGCTTCGGGCGGTCCCACTTCGCTTGAGTCCTACCTGGGCGAACAGCCCGAGGACACCGCCGCTGCTGCTGGCGGCACTATTTCCTCAGCGCCTACGGCTGGACCAACCTCTATGTCAGCCACGGCGCCTACTACCTTGGCTGCGGATGACGCCCAGCCGGGCGTGACACCGCCCCAGCAGGGCGGAGAGGCAACGCCCGAAGGGGGCCGCCCACTCCGGGCGCGACCCGCTCACGGGCTAATAAGATCGGCCCTCAACGGGCGGATCCAGACCCAGTGCTGCCCACCGCCACTGGGGCAGAGCAGACGGTCCGCCAACTGGCGGACCAAATTGATGGGGCGGCAAAGCCTTCCATACCAGAAGGCGCCACCCGCCTTATCTGAGGCGGATTCCCCAATCATGCCCTACAGCAAGCCGCCCCCCCGCTATTGCGCCTTGCGCATTGCCGGGTGACAGCAGGCCCCGCCTACGGACCTGAGCAATACGCCGGTCCAAGGGGCGACCATCCCTAGGACGGACCCCGTCCAGCAACAGGGCCCAGGACCATGCGGGGCGGACTTTGCCCACGCGCTCCAGCCGCCAGGGCATTACCCATTCCGCACCGCCTTGCAGCAGGCGGAAGCAGCAAGACTTGGGATGAGCTTCGAAAGCTACAGCCGTCATTCCGCGCCCGAGATCTTTGAGCTGCTGCGGGCGCTGGACCGCAGAGAAGCCCAGCCCGAGCGGCAAGAGGCCCAGGCCCGTGCTAAGGGCGCCGCGCCTAACATCGGGCGAGAGCTCCAAGAGCAGTTCGCCCAGGAGCAGGCCGAACTGGCGGGCAAGGGCCCAAAGAGCGTTCGCCCTTCGGGCGGAAAGGGCGTCAAGGGCCAAAGCAAAGGCCTTGCCATTCCACCGCCTTTGAGGGCGGATCCTTATGCGGTCAGACCGCACAATCCGCTCCGGCGGCCAGACCGCCTGGAGCATGACATCCCCTTCGGCAACCGCCGAAAGGATGAGCGCCTCCAAGGCGCAGCAGGTGCGCCTTTGGCAGTCGGAGGGGGCGATCACGACCGAACCTGTGACCGACCGCCTCGCTCCGCCTCTGCCGAAGAGAGCTCGCCCAGATCCATGAGATCGAGAGGGCGATCGAGGCTGACGAGTTTCGATGCCCCCCGCCTCCAGGCGAGCTACTTCTTCATCCAGCGCCTACCACGCCGCTGTCACCCCAGATGCCCGGGACGACGCGTCCTGCAGTGGTGCATGGCGCCCTGCATTTCAGGCAACGCCTGCTGTGGCGTAGGGCGGTGCGTTAGGCCCATCATGGCCGGGGCGCCCCGACCGCACCGCCCGCATCGCTGCAAGCGCTGTGGCATCCGGCTTCGGCTAGGGCGGCCTCATCCCACTTCGACAGGACCCCGTCCTTCCCGCCCGCCCAGGGCGACGAGCCCGAGAACACGGGCGGCCGCTCGATCTGAGCCCCCCACGGGCCGCTGCACCTAGCCCTCCTGGGCGTCTCACGGTGCTCAACGCCCTGCGGGGCGATCATTTGGAAGCCGCCTGACAGGCCGCTCTGGACGGCCCTTTCTGCGGCTGGGTCTTGGCCTGCTCTTCCGCAGACTGCCTGCCATGCGGGCGGTCTGCTTGGAATACCGCCTTTCGGGTGGCGGCACTGCCGCCCCTAAGGCGGCCAAGACCCTGAGTTAAAAAAGACTGCGCCGCCTTGCTCCTTGCGTGCGGCTCATGGGTGGCGTGGGCCACATAAGGTGTCAAAGGCGCTCTCGGGCGGCCGAGGGGCGGAAGGTGGTGGACGTGGTCAGCGGAGGCGTAATTTGTGGTGGTCTGTGGCTCCCTCGACTGGTAGTCTCTTCGCTCTCCCTTCGCCTTGCAGGAGGCGGACGTGGTCTGGGGAGGCGCGCTTTGAGGTGGTCACAGGCGTACTCTGACCCTGTTGTCGTCTTGCTTGTTGTTGGGCGGTGGTGTCGTGGCGTTCGTCAGAGGAGGATTGGTCTTGGTGCGGGTGCCACTCGAAATCGGGCACTTCGGCTCAAACCGCCCAAGCCCGAGGTCGAGTATGGGGAAGCACTGCCCCGGGAACCGGGCCAAGGGGCGATGATCCCACGTCATCATGCGCCATCGCACTCGCAAGGTCCACCGCCCTGACAGGGCGGAGGAACAGAATGACAGGCCCCTGTGGCGGGCGCCATGCGGTTGGCCATATGGCCAACGCAACTTTTACCGCCTCAGCAAGGCGCCGCATGGGTCGGACCTCTGCAAGAGGTGCTTCCCTCAGGGCGGGCAACCGCCCCCGCCCGAGGCCATCAGTGCGGACTCGTCCTCCTCGGACTCTTCCGCCTCCAGCTCATCGAGCTGAAGGCGGCGGGCGGAGCAAAAGAGTGCTGATTCGCAAGTTTGGTCTGTGCATTTCCGCCGCGCGAATGCAAGCAGCTCCCTCTTCCCCCGTACCGCCGCCATGGCTGCCAGGCCCGGTCCCAGTGCAGCTCCCGCCTACTCTGGCGTCCACCAGGTCAAAGCGGACTGCCCGACTGTCAGGGCACACGACTTTCCGGTCCTGGGCGAGCTGTAGATACACCGGTCAGCGCCTTTGAGGGGGCGACCTACGCCGCCTGCCTTTGTGGCGGCGTCCGGCCCCAGCCGCCGGCACCTGGCGGACCCACGCGAACAGGGCAAGTCGCCCGATGCTTGGACCACGCCATGTCAGTGGCGATATGGCGGAGACTTCGTGCTCAGGTACGATGTGCTTCCAAGACCGATCGACTTGTGCATCGTCTGCTTTCCGTGGGGCGTGCCTAGCGGGCGCCGGCCCCACGGGCCCCGTGGGCACACAATGAGATCGGGCTGCTCAACGACGGCCCGTGGGCCGAATACGTCCAAGCCTGCAGAGGCGATGTCGCCCACAGAACAGAGCCTAGACACCTTTGATTCGATGGGCGCTCCTCGTCGTGGCGGACACCATGTGGATGGACCTACGGCTCTCGGCCGTGCTCACTACTCTTCCGCCACTCTACGGCCCGGAGGTGCCTCGTCTGCTTCTCGAGACGGGCGCCGGAGCCTTTGGGGCCAGGTGGCCGGGCGGCATACCGCCTTTCGTCCGGCAGGACCGGGCGTACCACAACGACGCGGTCTTGCGCAAGCCCGACTTCAATGAGAGCCTCACGGCAACCGCCTGGAGTGGAGGGCGCCGTGCGGGTGGACCTATCCCGATGAAGGGACCCCTCGAGGTTGGAGCCGCCAAGAGGAACACCGCCTGTGCATGGTCTGCTTCCCTTGAGGCGGACAACTCGCCCTCATCGGGCGAATTTTCCATTTGCTCAGCCTTATGGGGCAAGGACTCGCCCAACCCGGAGGGGCCGTAGCGCAGGCGGAAAAAATTAGTAGGCCCAACCTGCTTTGCACGTGGCTCGGACTGCCTAGATCTCGCGTGCTCAAGCTTGCCGCCTGTAGCCCCGCCTCACCCATGACGACCGGCAACACCGGGCATCAAGCGCCTACCACGGCGGCGGGAACCAGTCCCGCTGCGCCCGGGACTGGGGGCGTGCCGCCCGCTGGGGCGTCCACTCTGCCAACGGTGGCAGGGGCCCTGATCAAGTGGCCCGACTTGATCGCCCAACTCGACGCCTACCTACAGGCGCGGAACATTCATCGACTTCTTCAGCTTCTGCCTCTTCTCTGGGGAGGGCATCGCCAGTGCCTCCTGAAGAGACGGTAAGTCGGAACGAATCTCCTGAGTCACCTCGCCAAATGTGCGCCCCGACCGCATGCCCATGGCGACGCGCCAGGCGGATTGCAACCAGAATTGTTGCATTTGGTATAGTTTGTCCGCCCCTTGGGCGCGGACCTTGGCCACGAACCAATTGCAATAGGCGTTCACGTCGTCCTCTGTGCCGAATTGCAGGAGGATCCAGGCCCATCTTGCGGCCTCCGCCCCGTCCAGGACGGTCAGCATGCTTTTCGGCTCCCATTCTTTCTCCTCCACGGTGTGGAGCTCGTCGCCCACGACCTTCAAGGCGGAGGACGACTGGGCGGTTTGGCGTTTGAGCGCCAAGCCGTTTAGCTCGCCGCCCGCCGCCCAGGTACGGCGGGAGAGGATCTCGCCCAAAGTGAGCGCCTTGTACATTTTGGACTTCGTGTGTTCATGCCAGAGCCTGGCGAGCACCTCCTCGGCGCCCAGGAGTTCCTTGACCGGGAACTCGCGGCGCTCGCCCCCGCGCTTATTGTAGAGCTCGATCTGGTCCGCCTACTGTGGGAAGTCCTTGGGCGGCTTGTCTGACCCCTTCCACTTGTGGGTGACGCCGGCCGAGTCGGTGTAGCCCGCCGCCCATGGGGCGACGACAGCCTTCTTGAACTGGTCGAGGTCGGCGACTTCTCCCCGATTGGGCCCGGTAAGGGCCACCAAGGCGCAAGGGCAAGGGGACGCCTCTTCTCCGCCTCCGCCGAGTTCATGCAGGCGATCTTTGACGACCTCCCGGGCTACAACACCGCCTCCATCTTCGAGAACGTCCTCATGAACTCGGCCGACGCGAAGACGGTGACCGAGAAGCTCGGATGTCAGCCGGTGTTCGCCTGCGCGGGCGACTTTGGATGGGTCACTCGCCCGCGGCTTTGGTGGCTGTCGGTCAAATGGGGCGACCTCACCTCGGACCCGTC